GTGGGATGGGGCTAGAAGTTAGGAAATTTCCATCCCTCCTGGTGTTTCCTCCAGCTCTCTGTGGTTTATGCCAGCATTCCAGGGTCTTCTCCAGGTATGCATGTGTGTGTGGCAGCAGTGATATCTTATCATTGTTCTAGCAATGACATCATGTGTTCCTAGAAGTATGGCTCTTTCAGTTCTAGAAGGTTTCTGCTGCTTCATTGCCACATTTGGGGCATGGGGATCATTTGAAGGGCTACGTTTCTATCTAGATATACCACAAAGCCATTTATTCCTTCGGTCTTATTTCTTCTTGGTGCTGTTAGAAAGCAGGAAACATTCTCTCTCTTCTCTTAGGATCCTCAAACTTCTATTTCTTACCTTTCCTTCCCTTTGTTGTTTGGTGAGTGAGAATATGGAAGGGAGGCTGAGTATTTTATCCCCCAAATCAGTATTGGAATGGAAGACTTAGTGACAGTGGTTGGCAACTGAATGTTGAGTGGTAGCTAATGATTTCTATCTTTCTCTTCTTCTAAGTCACCTGCATTTTAACTAGTTCTACTATGGTAGATCACATCTTGGATCAGCCTTCTGGTTAAATAAGAATGGACAAGTTGGAGGTGGGATGCTGTTCCTAGGCAACAAGTGATGGAAGGGAAAGATAAAGAGAAGGAAGAGGAGAGGAAATTTCCAATTAATTGAATAGCAAGGTAAGACAAGAATTTGTAGAAGAAGAGTTTTAGTGTTCAGTCAAGCCGGTATGATTTAGTGATTTCCTGTCTATTCAAACATGCACACATACACACTCAATAGAAACCTATTAGAACATGAATTCTAATGTGCTGTAGACACTTTTTGAAGTGTATCTGCAAATAATAAAACCTGATAATGGTAGCTGAGACCTCACCAAATATCTATGTGTTCCCTTTGCACTTAGATGGAGACCATGTGTCTAATTCTGTCTAGTGGATGACGGGTAGAAATGATGGATGCAAATTAATAGGTCTGACCATGACTTAACCTTTAGGACCTTCTAGCAGAATATTCTATTGCCACAGCAATCCTGAAAGCCAAGAGTTGAGATGGAGAGGACCTGAATCCCCGAGTCACCACATGAAAGATAGCTGGTTTTAAGTGATCCCTAGCTAATATCAGGAAGTGATAAACTAACTTTGATATGTTAAGCCACTGATTCTTGGGGGTTTATTTGCTATTGTAAGATAGGCTACCCAATTTTAACTAATACAGTTTGGAAGGTAAGATAAGTATTCTTTTGAAGTTTGATTCTGTTACATGAATCTGTATCATAAAAATATTCACTGCAAAGCCCCTTTTCTTCTTTTAAAAAGTAATATCTATTGGTTCTTTTGTTTTAAAAATTATAAATCATTTACCATAGAACAGGTTCTGGACAGAGAAACTAAAAGCCAAATTGTTGGGTGTTTCTGCCAATCGAAGAATGACTTGGGGTGAAGATAAAGCAAGTTAGAAATTATAAATTAGTGGAGAAATATGATCCCATTAGAAAAAATAAAAGGTTTATGAGTAACATTTTGGTGGCATGTCTATTTTATAAAATGAGGTTTTCTCAAGATCTGGAGGTCATTCAGATAGAGGCAATTCTTTGTCATTAAAAATTGATTTAACTGTTCTCTATTATCTCAGTGAAGCTCAGCATCTACTACAGAGAAGTCTTACATGAAAGCCCCATATTTTATTATTATTTGGTGTTACTATTGCCCCAAACCTGAAAAATGTTAAGTTTAGGAGATCTCAATGTTTTGGGATATAGAGGCCTTAGTAGTTTCTTTAATAAGTTTATAAGTGACAATAATTCAATTTAGAAAGTTAATATTTTTCTTGGAGTAAGAATTAGATTCTCTGGTTTCCTCCTTCTTTCCCTCCATCCTTTCCTCCCTCTTTCTTCCTTCCTTCTTCCTTCCCTCCCTCCCTTCTATTTCTCTTTCTTTCCCTCCTTCCTTCCCTTCCCTCCTTCCTTCCTTCTTCTTTATACTCCTCTGATTCTAGAAGAATTTGTTCTCCATTTTTATAATCACTTGAAATGAAGGTCTTATAAAATACTTTTAAGTATTTGGAATAACCTTTGTAAACCCATTTAATTTTTTCCATCTCCTCTGAAATCCTTTCACAAAATTAAAACTTTAGAAGTATATTTCAGGTCTCTTCCAGCCTGTCACACTGCTATTTCTTTGTTTTTTGTTTTATTCACAAAGGAACTTATTTACTTCTTTATAACTTTCTCAGGCAATTGTCTTATGTTCCTTTATATTAGTAAATTTATATAATTTTCCCACACTTTATACATAATAAAACCTTATTACAACTTATCAAGATATTTAGAACAAACTGGAAAACTTACTCTTAAGGTTTATTCCCTAATAGCCATTGTAGCTGTATTTTCACAAATTCTATAATTCAAATTTTGGGGAACCATGGTAAATAAGTGAGAATTTTAAAAAGAAGGAGGTTATTCTAAGACAGCTGTGGAAAAAGGAATAAGTCAACAGCTGATGACAAAGTACAAGTTAATATCAGAATATAATACCTCTAAACTTCCCTTATAACTTGGTCAGATGTTTTGCCTTCTATGTACTTCTAGAGTACACATCTAGTGGCAGACATATTAATGGGAAGGGGTGGTGGTGGTGATGGGAGGATGTTAGTTCTAAAGTTAGCCCTCACGGTGAGATCATATATAGTCACAATTACCTTTTTAAAAATCCCTAAATAGCCAAGAAGTCATCAAGATAATTTTTTGTTTGTTTTTCTTTGCTTTCGGCATGGCTTCCCTTTCTCTGGGACGGTGGAGAACAAGGAATTTTTATGTCCCCCTGTCATTCCATTGGCTTCCCATCGTTCCCAAGACAGTGACTAAAATCATTAACATGGTGTATAAAGCCCTGCCAATTCTGGCTCAGACTTCTTTTCCAACCTCATCTTGCCCCAAGATCCACACTGTCTTCCTTTTAATTTCTTGGATGCTCTCTCCTTTCCCCATACAGTTCCAACAGCCTTCATCTTCTTCTCTGGTAACTTCTTTAACTTTTTAGTACACAGCTTAAACATTTCTCCCTTAGAGAAATATCATGTATTCCTATTTTGTCCTATTATAACAATCTAATCTTTCCATCATAAAACCTATCATAGCTGTGATTTAACATTTATTCATAGTGCTCTGATTAGAAATCAACTCCCCCAATAGACTGAGAGCTCCATGATGACAGGGTCTATGTTTTGGCCTTCTGGTTCATAGACGCCCATCTTCTTGTTGTGTCCTCACATGGCAGAAGGCTCAAGGAAGCTCTCTGGGGTCTGTTTTACAAGGATATTAATTCAATTTGAGAGGGCTCTGCCCTTATGATCTAGTCACCTCCCAAAGGTCTCACCTCTTAATATCATCACATTGAGAGGATTAGGTTTCATCATATGAATTTTGGGGGACACAAACATCCAGTCTATGGCAAGAACAAAATTTTGATTGTAAATCTGAAATTATCTGTATTCAAATAACTCTTTCAATGGGCCTAGATTTGAGTTCCATTAAATTTAGTACTGAACACCAAATTTGTAGCTTGCTTGTAACATATTACATGGTTTTGATGATATAGGTTTTTTTTTTTTTTTTTTTTTGTTGCGGTACGCGGGCCTCTCCCGTTGCGGAGCACAGGCTCCGGACGCGCAGGCTCAGCAGCTATGGCTCACGGGCCCAGCCGCTCCGCGGCATGTGGGATCTTCCCGGACCGGGGCACGAACCTGTGTGCCCTGCATCGGCAGGCGGACTCTCAACCACTGCGCCACCAGGGTAGCCCGATGATATAGTTCTAATGAAAGAATTTTTATATTCCTAAATAGAGGCCCAAATGTCAATAGCATATTCACAATCAGGTTTTGCTGTCCTTTCCTGAAATGACTGCTGGTCTAGAAATCAAATCTCAAATTAGTGGTATTTACTCATGCCCAACTATATATATTATACTCAAAGCAAATAATATGCTTTAGAAAAAGGACTGAAATTTCTGGGTAGTCTTTAAACAAAACTACAGTCTATTTTTTTGAGAAGTCTCATTCAAAGATCAAAAAACATGTAATTAGGAGATAGGCTTCAGTTTCCAGAAATAATCTTTAGTAACTGTTTGATTGAAGAATGTCTATTTGAAGAATATATAATAATTTGAAATTATAATTTGCTTAATATTGGCTCCTTTGAGCAAGAGGGCAATTATCAGCTTAGGTTCCAAAACCTATACAGCTGTTCCCTCACTTTGAGCGAGCTGACCCCACTGTTAACTTGAAAAGTTTGATGTGTTTGTGTATGTGTGTGCACATAAGATGTGTAGCTCAAGTTTGCATTCCCAATTTAAAAAATGTCCAGATACCCATAAAATTTAGGTGAAAGAAAAGGTAAAGTATGTTTCCCAGTAGAAGAAAAAAATCACAACTGCTTGGCAGTAATATAATATAAAAGTACATGTGATAGTCTTAGTACCTTAGCTACTTACAAAATTAATAAATTATTTACTATTCCTCCATGGGAGGCAGGATATAGAGTAAGGAAGATCTGGGGTTATACAATTTGGCCAGCCTTGGTTAAAAATCTCAACTCTATTACTTTCTACTCATGTAACCTTGGGCAATTTAGTTAATATCATTAAGGCTCACCTTTCTTATCTGAAAATGAGGATATATTATGACCATCCTCCTAGAAATACAGTAGAGCTTAATGGGACCATGTATACTAAAAACTTAGTGCCTGGAACATAATGTGTTTGCAATTAAAGTTATGATCAATATTTTTACTACCCTTCAGAAAAGAGATTTCCAAAGTTTTCCTAGAGTAATGATTAGATTTATCAATGTGAAGCCTCAGGGTTCCTCTATTTTTGCTCTATATTCCCTTTTCCCCTTCTATTTAATTAAATTAATTATAGAAACAGTATAAGTATATAGAAGATGGATCAGGTAAGTGTCTTAGACAAAATAGAAGTTGCTTCTCTTACATGTGATAGTCTAGAGGTAGGTGGATGGTCCAAGGCAGTGGTTAGCCCTGTTCAATGAGATCATCCTGGAATCTGGTTTCCTTTCTTTTTCTTGTCCACCGTCTCCTAGGGTGAAGTCTTCTCTTGCATGGCTGGAGCTGCTTCACTAGCACTTTGCCCATGTTCTAGCCTTTAGAATAAGGGAAGGGGAAAATAGAGATCAAACATCTTCCCTTTAGAAGATTGGCCCAGAAGTGGAATACTTCAATTCTAGCTACATCCCACTGATCATAATATAGACACATGGAGGCATCTATTTGTAAGGAAGAATGTAAAAAGTAGTCTGTTTTGTGACCCTGTGCCAGGAGAAAATGCAGGAATTCTATTACTAAAGTGAAGGGGACAGTTAGCAGTCTCTGCCACAAATAATGTATTATAGTGCAAAAGATCTGTTGGACCAGAGGCCAACATAACTGGGAATATGACTTGGGTCAGTTCAAAGTAGTCTGGTGACCTTGAGATCACTGAGCTTCTACAAGTCTCAGCTCTCTCCAGGTCTCACTGCCTTACTTCTTTGTTGTTAGTTAGGGTACTCCTTAACCCTTCCTCATATGGCATAATAATAACAAACTTTATTGAGCACTTGCTATGTGCTGGACACTAATCCAAATATTTCACATGTATGATTTCATTTAATACTCTCAACAAGCCTGTGAAGTAGGTACTATTATTACCCTCACTTTATAGACAAGGAAACTGAAGCATGGAAAAGTTAAGTAACTTGAGCTGTTGGGATTTGATTTCAGGTTTCTTAACTCTATAGCTCAAGAGTTTATGTGAAAAGTGGCAACTAGTTGTTTTTTTTTTAACTATCATTTTTAAAAAAAATTTTATTGGAGTATAGTTGATTTACGGTGTTGTGTTAGTTTCAGGTGTAGAACAAAGTGAATCAGTTATAAAATATACACTCTTTTTTAGATTCTTTTCCCATGTAAGTCATTACAGAGTATTGAGTAGAGTTCCCTGTACTATACAGTAGGTCCTTGTTAGTTTATCTATTTTATATATAGTAGTGTGTATATGTCAACCCCAATCTCCCAATTTATCCCTCCCCACCCTTATCCCATGGTAACCATAAGCGTGTTTTCTACATTTGTGACGCTACTTCTGTTTTGTAAATAAGTTCATCTGTACCCTTTTTCCAGATGGAGTGGCAACTAGTTTAACCAAAATGTATTAGTTTCTTATTTCTGCTGTAGCAAACTACTATAAACTTTGTGGCTTAAAACAGCACACAGTAATTATCTTACAGTTCTGGAGGTCAGAAGTATGAAATGGGTCTCATGAGGCTAAAATCGAAATTTGGCAAGGCTGTTCCTTCTGGAGGCTCTAGAAGAAAGTAGCTTTCCTTGACTTTCCCATTTCTAGAGGCCACACGCTTTCCTTTGCTCATGGCCCCCAGCCAGCAATTGCATCACTGCAAATTCTGCTTTGCTTCCATCATCGCATCTCCTTCCCTCACTCTCCTGTCTCCCTCTTTCACTTGTAAAAACCCTGTGATTATACTTAGGACACACCCAGTTAATCCAGAGTAATCATCCCATCTCAAAATCCTTAGTTTAATCACATCAGCAAAATCCCTTTTGCCAAGTAAGGTAACATATTCACACAGGTTCCAGGGATTTAGATGTGGACATCTTTGGGGGAGCCATTATTCTGCCTACCACAAATGCCTTTTCAAAGGATGTCAGTAACTTATTAACAAATCCAATGGACTTCCTCAGGCTTTACCTCATACTCTCTCAAAACTCTTCCCACCCATAACTTCCTAATTACATCTTGCCTGAATTTCCACTCTCTTTGATGACTCCTCTTTTCAATTCTATCTCTTATCTTCCTCAATGTAGTTGTTTCCCAAGGACCTACTTTCATTCTTTATTCTTCTCACTCTATACTATTTACCTTGGTATCTTCTTATATATCTTATAACAGAATCTGTAACTAATATAATACTTATATTTGTGTCCCCAACCCTGGTTTTGCTGTTGAGTTTCAAAGCAATGTTTAAAAAATGTTTGCTGGATATCTTCCCCTGACTGTTCTGACCATTCAAATTCATCATTTCAAACTGAAATTATGGTCTGCCTTCCCATATCTGCTGTTCTCTTGCATTTACTTTTTTTGTTGATGGCCCTTCATCTTCACAGTGGTTCTGTCTCATGAATTCAGTGTCCTCTTAGACTCCTCTATCCACTTGTTTCTCAAAATGTATGGATTCTAATTCTATAGTATGTTTTTCTTCTTCCCCCTATATGATCCATTTCCACCTCTATTCTTGTAGTTCTCTTACTAGGTGTATCTTATGAGCATACCAATCTATTTTACACATTGCTACCAGATTTACTTGCCTAAAACCGAGCTCTTGTCTTATTATACCCATCCACCTCAAATATCCTTGTTTACAGAATTGTCTAACTTTCCAGAACCTCCTTCATCTACTTTCAACATTATTTTTTCCTATATATATTTACATACATTTTGTTTCTGAAAAACTTGACTCTTTGTTTCCTATTCATCATGCACTTTCCCTTCTCTGCCCCTCACTCATAATTTCCGTATACTTGGAACATTTTTATCAACCATTTAAATTTATCTAAGTCCAATCCATTCTCTAAGATCCTGTCTAATGCTACTCTCAGAAATCCTTCAGGTTATCTTTTGCTTTTTGAATGATCAGATGCTTCTCCATCTTTTATTAAATTTAACACCTTTTACTCATTTATATAGCAATTTTTGACGATATCACTGAGGAAAAGTTTGTGTTTGGCTCATCACCCAATATTAAGTGTTTACATAGTACTCCTAAAATATGAATCTGCAAAACAGGAAAATTGGACAAGAGCAATGATTTTCAATTTGGAGAGTAAGGGAGGAGTATAAGAATATTTCATGGGTGTAATTGTTGCAAAAGGTATACTAAATATTATAAAATACTTGAAAAAATTAAAAACCTATTTTTAAAATAGAAATATTGATAGAGAACATATTTTTGTTATTGCCATATGTTGTAGGGAATGCCAATCTAGGCTTTGAAGCCACCTCCTCAGGCTTGAAGCCTGGCCAGGCCAGGCAGTAGTTGGCAAGTTACTCAACCTCTCTGTTTCTCATATTCCTCACCTAGAAAGCTGAGAAATAATAATCGCTACCTCATAAGGCACACAGAACAGCATTTGGCACATGATAAGTCTCCAGAACATCTATCCAATTATTAGCTATTATTATTATCTCTCAAAAATTGTCATAGCTTTAAAAGATTGAGAAATACTTGACTACATGGTCTTTACTATAACTGTATCCCTAAAATTCTATCGTTCTGTTACTAGCATAATTCTGCCTAATCTCTATCATCATGTAGATTTATATACAGAGACAGTTAAAATGATAGCTATTTCATCTTTGTTATAAACTTATTAGGCATTATAATGCTTTTGAAACACTCATTTTGAGTCAATTCTTATTGATTTTAGCTTTTTACAGTTTGTGGCATTAAACTATAAAGAATAGAGGCAGGTTTTAAAAAATTATTTGGGCAAATTCTTCCTACATTGTCCTTTCTTCTAGTTTGGAGTATAGACCTTTCCTGTAACATTTATAACTCTTGCTTGTGTGTGTGTGTGTGTGTGTGTGTGTGCACGTGCGCGTGCACGTGCGTGTGTGTGTGTTTAGTGCATTAAATTCACACAAAATGTAAGTAATTATGCCATGCTTTACCCTAAGCAACCTAAAGGTTGCTAATATTTGAGAAGCCTACTTCCCTCCCTCGGCTGTTTAATTTGGCACTTTGAGTGAAATATTTTCTTTTTTGTAATTTTAATGTCTGAATTATATGTCGACTACACAGACCATATTAGAATGCATACTCTGGGAAGAAGTAGAAAAGCATCTGTTTGCAATGTAAAATATACCAGTATTTGTTAGGTGAGCATTGCTAGGCAAATAGTAAATCATTTGTTAAAAATTTCCATTTTAAGATGAAGGTTGCTACTGAAAGATTCTAATTTGGTACTATGTTTTCATATTCATACTGTAATAGAGAGCATTATTTTAGCCGTGCTGAAATTGTTAGAACTAACTCAGATATGCAGTTAGAATCAGAAAAACTTTACATTTTGAGTAATTTTTATGGTATGAGGCACTGAATATAGAAACTTGTCTATAACATAAACCTGGATGTGTTTTTTAAACTGATAAACATTTACAGTGATCTTTGCTACTGAATCCAGATACAACACAGCCTCTGTAAATATTATCTTGTGGTTTAAAAATTCAAAATGCACTTGTAGAAATGTAAAATGATAAACTTTATAGACTATGATGACTTCTTTTTTACTTTTCTTGTCCCATTTTTTATCAGATTACAAATATGGAATTAGTCTTTAGTGTTCACTCCAATTTGGCTAGGGTAACTTGCTAAAGCCTGTAAGAATCAGGCTTACAGAAATCTCCCAATTTTTTAAACCATTAATTAACCAGCTAAAATGCTTCAACCAAATAAGCAGGTATGCTTTAATAATAGAATCCTCTCTAGTGGTGTTGCTGATAGGTAAAAATAAATATGATTTTTTTCCACTTCACTGTCAAAATGTGCTGACAACTAGGAAAATGGTTTATTTTATAAATAAATGTTTTCAACATAGACATAATTGAAAAACAATATACAGGGCATGGTAAAATTAGCTACACAGTTGATGAATATCATAACAAGTTTTCAACTCATGTGCATAGTTGAAATAATTTATCTTATTTTAATTTTTTATGTTATACAATAAAAATGTACAGCTGAATATATAATACTGGTTCTCAACTTTGGCCACATATTAGAATCACTTGGGGTACTTTGGAAAAAAAATTGGCCTATGAACATCAGAATCTTGGAATGAAGTGGGGCATCCACAATCTTTAAGGGCTCCCAAAGATATTCCAATGCTCAACCAGGTTTGAGAACCACTGGAATAAAATAGTTTGGCTTATTAATAAATATTTATTTATATTATATAAATAAATTATATATATTATATAATATAAATAAATTATAAATATTATTATAATTATTGTTATAATATAATTATTATAAATATTTATTTATAATAAATAAAATACCTACTATGCTGACTTATGGGAATGTAGATA